AGATTCAAAATGATGATTTAAGCTTTAATGCTCAAGCTAAAATGAGTACTAACAAAATTTTCTCTCTTTATCTCAATAACATACAACAATCATATTTATCACTAAAGTAAGGAGATGAAGCCTGGTTGTGACATTTTCGTTTGGCATATATTAATTTTAGAAAATTAAATACTCTACAACAAAAAGAATATGGTAAAAGGGTCTTCCTCAAATTTCTTCTCCCTCACAAATATACAAAAAGTGTGTTGTTCGCAAAAAATATCGCAATTTATTTCTAATAAAAGAATCATAGAGAGCAAAAAAGGTGTGTTGAATTTATCCATTTTGACATTTATGGACCCATAATACCATCTTCAAATGGAGGTAAAAGCTATATTATTACCTTCATTAATGATTATACTAAAAAATCCAAATGTACTTCTAGGAGAAACTTGAAGCCTTTGAGTTTTAAAGCACATGCTGAAAAAGAGGTTGATAATTCAATAAAACCTCTTTGTTTGAATCATGGTAGAGAATATAACTCAGAAAAATTTACAAATTTTTGTGAGTTTCATAAATTAAAAAGGCAACTTACAGCAACCTACTCGCTCTAACAAAATAGAGTTTGTGAGAGAAAAACTCATTATTATGAAGATGGTGCAGAATTTGTTGAGAAGCATCGACATTCCAAAAACTCTTTTGTCTGACTCCAGAGTATTTACATTCTGAATAGAAGTCCCATATTTGGAGTTCAAAATATGACTCCAGAGGAAGTATGGAGTGGACAATAGCTAATTGTAGAACATTTTAAAGTTTTTAAATGTATAACATGTGCCCATATTCCTAATCAAATGAGGAAAAAACTAGACAATAAGGGAGAAAAATGTATTTTTCCTAATATTAGTGATAAAAAATGCCATTGAAAAATAAATTCATATCAGTCACAACTTGGTATTTATGAAAATTGGTTCTAATCATGGAACAAAAATGCTATTGAAAAACAAATTCCAACAAGTTTTGATGGAAAGAATGGTGAAGAACAAATCAGTCCCGACAGTGGCATATTCCAATAGTTGTAGCCTTTGAAAATGCTGAAAATGACACCTTTTTAAATTCTCAAACTACACCAACAATGGATGAACAAGTTGAAATAATAGATTATTCACATTTTCAACGTATTTCGAAGAAGGCTAGCATGGATGTTAAATTACGAGCTAATTAGAATTGATTACTTTGAGGATCCTCTTACTCAATTTATTATATTTCTAGATTGTGATCCAATAATTCTCAAATGTGCAAAATGACAGAAGGAAATTAATGATGAAATTAAAGGTATTGAAAGCAATGATATATAAGAGTTGGATTGGTCTATGAGAAGGGAGAAATATCATATTTGATTAGGTTCTCGTATGGTGATTATGCTAGTGTCTTAGATGATAAAAAAAGTACTACCAGATTTTTTTTATGTATAAAGTTCAGGAGTTGTTTCATGGTTTTCTAAAATGTAACATATTATCACTTTGTCAACCATAAAAGCTGAATTTGTCACTGCAACAACTTAAGCCTGTCAAACTATGTAGTTAAGAAAAAATTTTAAAAAGATCTAAATTCTAAGAAAAAATGAACTACTATAATTTGTTTTTGTGACAACAAGTATTATTAACTTGTTCAATAATCCTCCACTACATAAAAGAAGCAAACATAATGATGTTAAATATCATTTTTTAGTATATCTCAACAATGGAGTAATTTGTTTGAAGTATTGAAGGAGTGAAGATTGATTGATCGATAAATTTATAAAACCTCTCAAACATTTTCCTCTTAAAATATGTGGAAGTTGTTGATTCTTTGCACCATGAAAAATTTTGATTGAAGAAACAAACATATTGAGAGAAGACCGTGTTTTTTTAGTTAATTTGAATTGTATATTATCTAGGAAGCTCATAAATGTTGAATATTATTTATACATTATTTGTAAAGATTTTACATATCATAGAAGAATATGATAAATTTTGAACCTTATCTATAGGAATTATACTTATCGTTCGAGAATAAGATAAGTGTTGAACTAAATTTATAAAGAATACGTGACTATTTTTTGTTGTAATTTGTCTATTTAAAAATTAATTAGTTGGTTGAAAAATTCATATTAATTTCTATTTTTCTTCTCATTCTTATTTTACTGTTCTTAAGTTCAAACAATTTTTTGTTGATTATTTACTAAATTTACGTAAGTATCTCTTCCTAAGAAGAGTGTATAAATCTCAAAGCTGTCTTTATTCCTTTGGCATACTGAGAAACACACACACACACATATATATATATATATATGCACACAAGTTCCAAAATTATTTTAGGATCTGAAGTAAGATATATGGATCCTAAATTGGACATTTTGGGCTAGATTTCTAGATCCAGCCCATTTTATTTATTCTGATTTAAATCCAAACAGACGAATATGTACTTGTAAATTTAAATAGAAATCAAACAAACATGTTGCTGACTCTTGATAATTTCTGGTTACTTTATTGAGCTTCTTGAGTTGAAGAGGGTGCAGTGGAGGTGGTTCTTGATCCATATCGAGCTTTGAATATTGCGGCGAGATTTTCTCTCTCAGGCAGACATTGTTTGATCAAATCACAATTGACAAACCCTTGACTCCACTCAAATAATCTGGGAAATTTCTCAGCCGTCAGCAATTCCAACCCACGAATTTCTTGAATAACCTCAACCCATAACCCAAAGAAACAAGCCGCTATATCCACCATTCCGATTTTTTCTCCTCCGAAGAATCTCTTCCCCTTCACCTCATTCTCCATTGTTCTCAGACATTCGTTGGCTTCTTCCACCGCCTTCTCTCGCCCATTCTCTTCGCTCCAGTAAGCAGTCCACAAAGTCATCATACACTTCACAACAAAACCCAATTGTCAGATCCCGCTTTCCTTTTTTTAATATCCACCAATTCAAGAAACAGGGTTGATGTGTGTGAACATATATGTATATGTATGAATGCAGAGAGAGAGAGAGAGAGAGAGAGAGAGAAGAGAAATTAGTTTCTTGTTTTTACCTTTTCGTCGATGTACTTGGCCCAAAAACGAGCCATGGCTCTGTCATAAGGATCTTGATGCAGGATTGGGTTTTGTTTCCATGTTTCATCGATGTATTCAACGATGACAAGAGACTCTGCAATTGGTTTCCCGTTGTGAATGAGGACAGGGATTTTCTTGTGGACCGGATTTGATTTCAGAAGCAAAGGACTCTTGTTAGAGGTATCCTCTTCGATATAGTCATACGGGATACCTTTCATTTTTAGGGCAATAATTACCCTACAGGTGAAAGGACTGGCCTTATGTCCCAACAACTTCACTTCTTCACTCATCTTTTCTTTTCTTCCTTCTACTGAATGATTTGGGTTTGGTTCACTGGGGTTTACAGTACTTATAGAACAATTATCAGTTGCCTTTTCTTGCCAACCAAGTTTTCAGCTCCTCAGTCTTGTTCAATTTGAGTAATTATCAAATTAATTAATATTCAGTGATCAAAAGTCAATGATTCAAAAAGTTGAGAACACCAGTAGAAAGAAATTGAATTTTCAAGATGCACAAAAACAGAGAAGATAAATCAAATGGGTTACCGAAGAAGAAAGAAATAATCAAAAAATTAATGTTCCTATATATATATATATATGTATATATATTCAATTTCGTGGAAGCAAAATTTTCCACGCACCTCATCTCATTTTCAACTGAAAAGAAAAAAATTAATGATAACAAACAAAAACGATGGTCCTTTCATACCTGACGTATAAAATTTACAAACATGCCTTTGAAACTTCAACATGTGAAGTCAAGAGAAATTGTGAAAGGAAATTTAATAAGAGGTTAGTTCTGAAAGCAATTACGACATCATGCAGGCTGCAGCTAACGAAACGTTTCTTTCCTCATATCCTCTCAGAATTTGCAGAGAGATTCAGACCCAAATTAAGTGGCAAGTGGGTCGGGCCATAGATCCATCATCAATGGCCCCAAAATACTTTAAATTTTCCAGGCCCAATTGTTTTGGTTAATAAATTTCTCCATCTAGGAATAAATTACAATTTCTTCCTCAAATTGTGCTATCATTCAAAAATATTTACTAAACAAAGAATTCTTTATTTTGAAAAATTACAATACAATTTCTTTATTATTTTTTAAATTTTCTTAATTTTTCACAGCTTCATAATATATTCGTTTCCACCATCTTTTGCAATGTCGATCATAGAATTTGCATATATTAACCCACATTTTTGGTTAATTTTCTTTAATAAAAAAAAAAAAAAAGAGAAACTATAAAATAATTTTTGTAAGATATATAAATGATCTTCTATCAAAGTCCATAAGTAAGATTATGTATGCTGCAATGAACTTCAAAGGAGAAACCTAATGTTTCTTTCATCTCTCCACCTCACTACAAAAAAAAAAAAAAAAATATATATATATATATATATGTATGCTGCAATGAACTTCAAAGGAGAAACCTAATGTTTCTTTCATCTCTCCACCTCACTACAAAATATATATATATATATATATATATATATAGTCCAGTGTCATCTAACTTTCTTTCTTTAGTAAGAACTTTTACATTTATCAATTAAACGGTACATAAATACTGCTAACAATATAATAAAATATAACATTTAAAATGGAACACATAAAAATACAATTTAATTCAAATCTATAATTTTTTACAGAAGAAGAGACATTTTATAATGTTAATTAATTAGTAATTAATTAAAATTATGCGAGATAACGATTCAAAATGAAACATATATATATATATATATATGTAGAGATCACCTAAATTAATTAATGGAATTAGTTATTGGTGCAGACATATTTTTTTTTGTCCTCCAATAAAATAATTTTGTACCCAGTTAATTTATCAGAGAACTTCTTACATGAATGCTCTAAGTTTAAGAATAATCCACTACTATTGTCTTCAAACTCAATCTTTAAAAACTATTTTGATTTTAACAAAATCTAGTTCCAAAAGTATTGGACTACCTTAGAAAAACCATGTATTTGTGTATGTAACTATCATAAAAAAAAAATTAATGACTTAGATATCTCATCACATCGACTGACATCCTTAAAATTCTAATATGTCATGATGTCTAACTACCATATTAAAACAAACCTCTCATGAATTATATAATATGTAACCGATCACAAGTTACTTGAATCAAGAAGAATCACTCTCAGAGTTGTCATATGTCTAAGCAATTAAGCTCTTAGAAATATTTTATTCGATCAAATCAGATATAACATCTATTCGACCAATAAATTTTGATGGTTAATGTTTCTGATATTTCTCCATAGTATTTACACTAGTCATGTTGTCAAAAAAACGTTAATTAGTTTTATCATATAATATTTTTAAACGGTCCAGATGTCTTCCCCGCGCGTGGACGGTCCGGATTCGTTACCTCCTCAAGCGCGATCGAACAGTCGCGATTAAACACGATAAACGGTGCATATTTGTTTCCTCATCAGGGACGATCGGACGGTCGCGATCAAATGCAATGAACAATCCAGATTTATTTCTCCTTATGCACGATTGGATGGTTGAGATCAAATGCGATCAACGGTCCAGATTCGTGCGAGATTGGTATAAATTTTCTCACCCATTCAGAATTTGATTCCAAGCACCCATGTGGCCATATCGGAGTAAAACAAACAGCAGGTCAGCCGAAAACCGCGGGCAAAACCCGATGGCACTGACGCAGACAAAACCTACAACCGCCTCCGATGAGGCCCTTTCCGATTCCCGTTTTGTGTGATTTTTCTACTGTTGTGTTTACCGTTATGTTTTTTACAGGTTGACCGAAAGGAACACACCTAGCCCAAGAAGGTGAGCCGGCAAAGCCGCCGTATCAAAAAATTCCACCGCTGGTAGGTTTCTATTTTTTTTTTTTTTGCCAATCGAGGTCCCCTAATATGTTTTCTCGCAGGGATTGGTATAAAATCGGGCCAAAACTAGCCGAAAATGG